AATTACTCTTTACTTACATAGAACAAGAGATCTACAGATCTAGACAAAACCAGAAAACTACCTACATGCCTCCCTTCCATTTTAGAACATCCTTCAGGACTTGGGTAATGTCCTCCAGAAAGTCCAATATGCTTTCTCTTCTCTTCTCTTCTGAACATAGATTTTTTTTAACTAGAGAATGGAAACTCTGTAATTTCTTCTTCCTCAGTTCAGAACAGAAAGCTAAAAAGCCTTTTCCTTATACCTTCTGTTCCCCTTGGTCAGGTGACTGGTCTTACTAGGTGGTCAAAGCTTTCTACCAGGTGATCTGCCATTTACTTACTAGAACACCTGAGTCAAATCATCCTTTCCAGTGGCTCCCAGCTCTTATTCCAAGGAGACTTCTGTGTGCAGAGAGGATTATTTAAGGATGATGACCCTCCTTAGTTACATCAGTGTAACTAACTTTTGGAATTTCAGTCTGATGTAGAGAAGCAAAGAGAAGAGAAAAGGCAATCAAACCCCATATTCAAAATAGAGTTTGCCATCTGACACAGACACACACAAATAATTCCTCCTGTTAAAGTGAAATCATAAGTTGTCTCAATGGCTACTGTCTATTTCAGAACAGTGCATCAGGGAAAGGTGTTTCTGGTACCCAGTCTCTTCCACACACTTTTCATAACAGATTCATGCCAATCAGCTAGCAAAGAATCCTCTTCCCCTTCACTGCCTAGAAGCTAAATATCTCCCTACCATTAATGGCAGTAGCAGGCACAGCAGCAATAGCAGCCTTTGCCCCCTGGAAATCAATGTTGTTGGCTCTTGAAAGTCACACAATTAATACCACTGCCAGAGTCAGTCCCAGGTGGCTATGAGAAGCCCTCAAAAGAATTCCAGCATAGGGTAGGAAATACTCCTTTGACCAACTGCTTTTTGCTTGGCAGCCTCCTGGGGGAGAGAAGCCAAATGGGGGTGTTGCAGGAAGCAGACAGGGTTTTCCCATCCTCCTCTTAGGAGGGCTTTATGGGGAAAAGAGAGTGGCTGGTAAAAGGGAGCATTGAAAAAGCAATAGGTTAAGGTAGTTTCTTCCCCCCACACACTTCTGTGAGAATTGTGTACTCTCTCCTTCCCCCATCCCAATCCCCAGGGTAAAGAACCCTTAGGATGAGAGCGGGAGAAAAAAAGACTGTGCTATAGCGGTTTCCTCAGCCCTCAGTGGAAGAGCCCTTGGAGCTGCAGGAGGAGCAGAAATCCACTGGGACACAACAGGCAGAAGTGGGACTGGTGGAGGCCCCAAAATTAAATAAGGTTTTGAAGTCTGGGTAGAGGCTGGAAGCTCCTTCCTGTTAGGGTATCAAGGAGATCTCAGGATACAGAGTCACCTTGTGTCATACCTTTGGGAGCACTGACATCAGCATATGTGTCACAAACATTAGGGATGGGCAGGGAAAAAGGGAAAATCAGTTGACTGAAAAGTTCAAGATCATTATTTTCAAAAGTGTCTTACAATAGTCAGGGGTGGGGTTGCAATAATGGCTCCTATCCTTCAAGCTCTTGGACTGAACAATACTGAAGAAGAAATAGGCTTAGGCTGGTTATGTTACTAGGCAGCTCTTCAAGAGCAGCCTCCTTTGCTTCAGAGCCCAGGAGACTGACAGATTGAGGGAATTTGCACCTTCCTTTTGTTTATTGTTCATCCTATACTGTAACTAACTTCTTTATTGCACTGTTATGAGCATGGGTAGGCAAAGGACTATGAGAAGGGAGACAGTGCTCCAAGGTAGACTCGTCTTAGCCACCTCACTTAACTCACAGAGGTTCCTGGAGCTTTACATTTCTCAGATGGAGCTGCATCTACACAAGATGCTGACTGTACAGTTGTTACTGCACAGTCATTTAGCACTTGCATACACAAGCACTAAATGACTGTGCAGTAACCAATGTTACTGCACAGTAGCATCCCCACACAGCTTCTTGGTGATGCTGACTGCGCAGTAGCTCATTACTACATTACATCACATTTTGTGCCGCACAACACTACTGCACAGTAGTAACAGGCTACTGCTCAGTCAACATCTTGTGTAGACATAGACCCTGCTGCAGAAATGGATCCAGCTGCATAGTCCCTTCATCCCTAAGAATGGGTTTACAGTACCAAATCTACCTGTACAAGGAACAGGGATGAAACTTTATTTTCAGTGAAGATTTTCTTTTGTCTTCCCAGTTTCTTTCAAGTCAGGAGGGCAGGTGAATATCATAGGGCCTGACAACTGACTGTGAATGTAGGTGTAACCCTCCCCTAGCACCGGAGCCAAGCGCTATACCAGATTCAAGATCCTCAGGCTGTCAGTAGTTTTGGGCTCTGCCTCAGGCAGCCTGGCTGGCTGAGGTGTCCCATCAAAAAAAGTGTGTTCCTCACTCTCACCTTCCCAAGAATCCACTTCAGCCTCAGTAGCAGACAGGGTTCTTTATTTTTCAGCTATAACTATTTACAGAAAAGAAAAAGATTAATAACAAATATACACATATATGCATTACATAGATGCAATAACACACATTAAAACCCATAACCAAAATATTATCTATAAACCCAACATTAGTGAATAGTCCATCCAACAAGTGATTCCACATATAACAGCCCTATCAATATACGTCCATTCACAGATTACAGACTCTAAGCCTCAGTTCCACTAGAAATTCAATTCACTCTAGTAAAAATAGATGGCAACACTGCTGTTGCTATGAGTGGTCACCAGATGGCAGTGCGTGGCTCCTACAGGCATTTGAAGAGTAGGTTGTACAGTCCCACTGTTTCTTTCAGACAGAAACCTCTGTCCCGAGGCAGTGGGATGATTCCTTCTCTGTAAACAAACTTTTTACAAGCACTGCAGAGTTAAATGCCTCCCCACGTTCCCTTTCCCTGTGAAACTAGAGCTGCTTAATAGAGCAGCCTAAACTCCCCCATGGCTCCAACCCAGCTGCAAGCACAGACTCCCTCTTCCCATTTCCCAGGGCACCTGAGTCCTGAGTTTGTACAGCTCCTCTTCGGGACAGGGGACTCTGCTCATCAGTGAGCACCACCAGCTGATCATCTTTCCTGGTGTGTTGGCTCCCTGGAGCAGGTTTTCAGTCCGCTTCCTGGGTGGAGAGACTATCCCAATCCTCCCCCTCAAGTTGGAAAATGACTCCTCTCCCTCTTTCCTGCCATCCGCTGTGTTTATATCCCGGATGCAGCCAACCATACCTCTCCATTGCACTGGCAATCCAGTCAGCTGCATGCATATTTTTAGGCTTGCATCTTTTCAGAGGTCCTGCATGCAAACCCCTTCCCACCCTTTCAGCAAAAGCTGTAGCATTGCTTTCCCCGCCCAGCCTCCTGTCTCCACAGCCTGGCAGCTGTTACATAGGCAATGAGAGAAAACAGTGCTGAAGCATCTTTGGCTAGGCTGAATCCCAGCGCTAAAGCAATCAAAAGCACACTTCAGACTCACAGGCTTTCTTTGAAAAGGCACTGGCCACAGCCAGTTGTGAAAATGGCTAGGCTTGCAAAATAGAGACCTGGCTCTAGAATGGTTTGGATATTCTCAATCCATGCTTCCTCTGTGCATGTGAGGAAAACATAACTTACTCTGCTTGTGAAAAGGACTAAAATGGATTCCAGGTTGCAGCATAAAGGGACTTAGTCTTGGTCAAAGTTGCTGTTTTCCCTTGCCCAGAGAGTGAGTGTGTTTTTCAGCAAACTGTTTACATGTCAGCTTTCATGAACTTTGATATCTGAAGCAAATTCCATACAACTGGCAAACAAGTGGTAATGCTGTGTGGTAATAAAATGTGTTTTCTCCCCTTCCACATGTAGATGTATTTTGTTTGTGAGTAGTAAAACACACAAAATGGTATATTTACCTTCTTCCCCCCCATGACAGACCTGAACACCAGATACCACATTTGCTACTCCAGCTAAACTACCATTAAAGCCAGCAGGAATTATGCTGGAGTAGGGACTGCAGGAATGGGACTTTAATTTTCTAGCAGTGTAATGGTATCTTCTCATCCTAGATCAGGAGCAGGCAAAATATGGCCTGCAAGCTAGATTTGGCCTGTCAGGCAATTTCATCGGGCCTGTGGGTGCCCACAACTAATTGTACCCCACCCAGCCCTTCCACCCATGAGGGTGGGACCAAGTTGCCCATGTATTCATATGTCCTATTGCGCCTTCCTCCCACCCTTGTGGGCTGAAGGGCCTGGCAGGCCAGCTCACAACTTCTGGGTGGGGCTGCTGCTGCTGCCACTGGAGGACCTGCTCTGCTGCCCCGGCATCCTGCTTGCTCTGGGCAGCAGGTAGGGAGCAGTGGGGAAGAAGGGGAGCTGCAGCAAGGTGGCAGCAGGAAAAGTGGGGCTGGGGCTGGTGGCAGCGTGGCCGGGGGGCAGCGGGAGCATGGAGCTTGGGTGGGCAGGGTGTGGGTGTGAGGGATCATGGTGAGATGTGGGGACCCCCTCACATCCTCCCCCCCATCACGATGCAGAACCCCGACAGGTTGAACAAGCATTAGTTAAAGCACCCTGCCATCATTTTGAAGTGCAGAGATGCTGATAGATGAGACGTGGAGGCTGGTGGTGTGCTAATTAGCATGCTCCAGCAGACTTGATTAATCAAGTCTGCTCCGACCCATTGTAATTATAGTGCATTGGAGCAGACTCCCCAAATGTCTACAGGCACCCTTTACTCTCAATATTCTTGTCAGAAAATCAGAGTATCATTAGACTCCCAAGACATATTTACAGGCATTCTTTTTCAAACACATATTGATAGTTAAAAAGCAGCTTCTTGTATAAATTTTCCCCCAAAATTCCTTCTGTGGCCAGATTAAGTGGAATGCAGTTTCATTTATGCAGTAAAAAGCATACTTTAAAGGCAAGTGTCAGCTCAGCTCAGCCTATTTCTCTATTATATATGTATAATTTTTTTCTCAAAATACTTCACATAATACTTCCTTTTAAAATGAAATAACTAAGACAGGTGACTTTTCTTATTCTTTATTTCATTGTGTCATATTATGCAAGTATATACTCTATATAGGATTTTGCTCCATTGAGTCCAAACATATTTTTGCTTGTAGCCTCCTAATAAACTGTTTTCATAATATGAAATTAAGTCAACTACCATATAATAGGCTTTAAAATTTACCTTGCCATTGGAAAAACTCAAAAATACTTCGTGTAACACATAGGTCATTTGAATCAGAGTAGTTACAGTGCCTCTTTATTCTCATATTATAAAGCAATTCTCATGCCAGCCTGACTGCAGATCATGTATCATTTTGACATTTCAGTTGGAGAATTGCTGCCTTATGGAATAAGATTTTCTGTGATGGAACTTCAGCCAATAAAACTGCCTTCCTGCTTGCTACTCTGCTCTTGACAAATCTCTTGAGAATAATCTTTCTCTTGCTCTGCAATCTGGCTGTAGCTGTCCCTCTAGTTTTTCTCAGCTGACAGATCTCGATCACCCTGAATACTCTGAGCTGACCAGTAATTGTCCGGCTGATCATTCTGGTAAAAGTCATAGGCCTGGCGACTATCACTTCTGCTTGCCCTCTCACTATCAGATGATTGGCTGCTGTCATCTTTGTTGCCATGGACATACTTAGCTGTCCAGCCCTTTTTACCATGCCAGGTGCCCTTTCTCCTTAGGACTCTGTCATGCCCTAGATAAACCCTGCCTGTATATCGTTCATCAGTTTCAGCATCACTTTTCTCACTCTTGGGACTTGTTTTTTTAACATTTTCATCAGTACCACGAGTATGAAAAGAATGTTTCTTTATGTTAGTATTATCAGTCTTATGGACATTACCAGTATTACTGTATTTGAGATGTTCATGACCTGTGAAGAATTGAGTGCCATCTTTTGTCTCTGTATATCTGTGACCAGTATCTTTTGTCTTCCCTCTGGAATGTCCAGCACTGGTCTTGACATTTGTACTGCTTCCAGGAACCTTAGTATAAGCAGTCCCTCCTTTTGTTATATCTTTTTTCCCTGCTGTAAGTCTAACATCAATAATATTTCCTTTCTTTTTTGGAACATTTGTGTAAGTGATCCCCAGCTTGCCTTTGGAAGCATTTCCATGACTCATATCAACATTTTTTTTATGCGGTTTAGTGAAATCGGGTCTCTCTGTCTGGATACTAGACCTCCCACTAATGATGTTATCTTCACTGTCATCTTTCTTGTGTACTTTGGTGACATCTGGTTTCTGTACATGAGTACTAACCCTTCCACTAGAGACAGTGACTTCACCTTTATCTTTTTTGTGTGTCTTGATGACATCTGTTTTTGGTACATGAGAGCCAACCCTTTCACTCGGGATAGTGACTTTACTTTTATCTTTCTTGTGTATCTTTCTACCTTTATCTGGTTCTTGCATGTAAGTACCAACCCTTCCACCAGGGAGAATGAGTTCACTTTTATCTTTTTTAAGCTGTTTTGTGAAACCATAATCTACATGACTGCCAGCCTTCCCACTAACAATGTTACCTTCACCTTCATCTGTCTTATGTGCTTTGATGATATCTGGTGTCTCAATGTGATTGCTAGTTCTTCCACTAAAGATGTTAACTTCACTTTTATCTATCTTGTGTGGTCTGCTGACATCTGGTTCTTCTACATGACTATGAGTCCTTCCATTAATGATGTTTTCTTCACCCTTGTCATTCTTTTGTGGTCTAATGATATCTGGGCCTTCCATGTGACTTCTAGTCCCTCCCTTGCCTTTACCTTTGTCTTCATTATCTCCTTTGGTGGGACCTGGTCCCTCTATATGGATACCAGCCCTCTCATTCTTCTGTGGTTTAATGACATCTGGCTCTTTTACATGACTATTAGCCCTCCCACTAACTTCATCTTTTTTCCTATCACCTTTAGTGAGGTCAGATCCTTCCACATGATTGCCCTTAATGATCTTAGCTTCTCCTGTTTCTGAAAAATATGACTGATTATCCATGCCTTCTTTACCCACTTTAATATGCTCCATTCTTTCTGGAATATCTATAGAGTCAGTGACTCCTATATCAAGATGGGCACCCCCATTGCCAGTGGCAAAATTGTCTTCATCCTTATCTATAAAATTTGTGTAGCCACTTCCTTCATTGTCAAACTCTTTATCTCTGGTGCCATCCTTGTCTGTCATAGGAACCCCTAAATAACTATTGCTCACTGGGTCCTGATGAATGGCTTTATCTTTTTTGGGGATGTCCCTATAGCCATTACTACCCTGGGTTTCAATGGCATCTTTATCTTTTTCTCTGGTGGCATTATAATCAGTACCCTCTGATTCATTAATACCCGTTAAGCCAGACTGATCTTTCTCTCTATCTTGTCCATATCTTTCTGTGTAACCAGTGCTCTTCGCATCCTGATGGCCGCTACCTCTGGCATCGTGGCCAGTACCAGAAATGACAGTAACACCACCTTCAATTTGGTCTAAGAAATCAAGGTCACCACTGCCCTCTATGCCCACAGTGGTATTCCCAGTAACTTTCTCACTGTCATCTTTGTACACACTGACTTCTAAGTGAATTTGATGGGCATCCCAGTCACTGGTGTTTCCAGTAACTCCAACGAATTTCTGCCTGTCAGAAATGCTTTTGTTCTCAGACTTCCTGATAGTTCCATTCTCAAGAAGGTATTTATGGTCTTCACCTCCCACTTGAACCTGGAAGTCTTCTGAAGGCTTCTTTGATTCATCTTCCTTTTTAAACTGGTGATTAGAAACTTGGCTTTTATCATATTCCTCACCTTTCTGAAATGTAGTGTAAAAGTGAAATGCATCATTTGATTTGAGGATATGGATAATCCTATGCAAGTTTCAGTACAAATTAATCTCATAATTCATTGCTTCTTGCTAATTACTACAGCCTTTCCTTGAGAAGGGCATTTATAAGGTTTCTCTAAGCCCATTAGATCAATTTATATGTTACAAGTTACATGTAGAGTCTTCAAATAAAACAGGGGTTTTCAACCAATTTTAGTTTAAGTACCCGTGGAGGCTGGATACCAAGTGGGGGGGAGGGGGAAGGGGGGTTAGCGCATGGCTGAAAGCTGAGCTTGGGGAAGAGGGTAACTCGCAGCTGGGGGGTAGAGGCTGGATGCCGAGTGGGCGGGTAATGTGCGGCTAGACATGGAAGAGCAAGGAGGTGGAGACAGCGCATGGGCAGGAGGGGATGGAGTGCTGCCTCCTCCCAGGAGCAGGACTGGGCTGGGGTGGGGTGGGGCGTAGAAGCTCACCAGGCTGGGGTGAGGGTAGCAGTGTCCCTCTGTGGGGCGGGGAAGCTCACTGGGTTGGTATGTGGAGGGCACCGCTGCTGCATGCAAAACTTCCCTGCCCCAGACAGGGGCTCCGCTGCACTCACCTGTCCCCGGCCCTGCTCCTGGGAGGTGGCAGCACTCAGTTCCCACCTGCCCACACATACCCCCTACGACTAGTCTAAGTACCCCCAGAGGTATGCATACCCCTGGTTGACAACCCCTGGAATAAAAGAATAAAAGGAGCAATGTCATATGATAGTTCTTGCTTTCTGGCACTAAACTGGTCCATTTAACATAAGCGGGTCTGGTACACTTTCCATTCTTTGTGACCAGTCTTAATTTCCTTTGTGATAGGATAACTAAAGAAATCCATAACTCTTCTAAGGGCTACAGACTCTGTATCTGGACTAAGATCCCATTTTTGCTGGTAATATTTGATCAGGAGACATGACATACTCTATTCCCTGTTTAGAAATAATTTTGCATTTTTAAGGTTGTCTCTGCTAGCAACACTTTAACCCCTAGACTCTAAGGACAAAATAAAAATGATTATTCCTTCAGGGACAATTTGCTTATCCTATCACTCACAAGCAAGAAATATGAACATAAAGATTCTTCTTACCGTTATCTGTGTTTGTTTTTTTTGTGCTGAGGATGTATACACGTACTTAAATAAATAAAACCCATTATTGATATTACAGGTCTTCACCAGTATCTAAGGCAAAAAACATAACATTAGCATCTTAATTATTACTGAAGACACAATCTGTTTAATTACAATTCAATATCTTTCATTTATTTCAAACAATTCTTTTCCTAATATTTTGAGTGAAACTCATAATAACTTTGTATGAACACCAGAGGGCATATTTTGACTGTATATTATTATTCACCTGAAAGAGACAATATTTAGTTGGGCATCTGATTTTTACTTTCAACTCATCTTTGCTTACATTCAGAATTTGGATTTTTTTTCTCCACTGGGTAAAATAAAAGTTTGGTGACTGGTAGGGGATTCTGCTCTATAGTGTATTTTAATACTGTGTTGGCTTTTACAAGTTGTTTCTCTGTTTTGCTCTTTTGTTCTCTTATTTTATAATTTATTTTCTTTGCTTCTGTAAACTGCCCTGAGCCTTTGATAAGAAGAACAGCATATAAATGTAATAAATAAATAGTGAATGATCTCATTCAATTTGTTAAAATGATTGAAGTAATAGGAAAAGATAGAGGATTTTAAAACCAAACAATACTGTGATTTTGAAAGAAAACAAGATTTTTCTATTGTTTTAATAATATTCTTTGCTTCTAGTAGTGCCCACAATGAACTCTGCACTGTGTAAACATAAATAATTTTAAAACTGCTGACAAAATTACTCTTTCAAAACAAACACTTTAAAGGTAAAGAAATGCTTCTATGGCTATATATGGGACTGTGGAAAAATCTTCAGGGAAAACTTTACCTGTACCCCAATGTGAAACTACAGTAACCTTTCCTAAAGCTCTCTTATGTTAAATTCTACAGGAATATAATTTTAGTAAATTAATTCTTGTCTAATTTTACCTAAGTTGATAAAATTTTAGGGAGATTGTGTTTCCACTAGAAAAGTAATCAGATTTACCCTGTGTTGTCCCACACAGTTCTCATTAGCTTTCCCAGGGTACGACTGAAATACCTGAGGGGGGAAAAGAACAAAAAAGCAAAGTTATAACTAATCTACCTGTTAATGCTTGTTTGTATGCTATAATACAGATACTAGGTTTTCTGCAGATGCACTAGGGAAAAAGTAGCTCGCTGCATTTAGATTCGTGTATTTTATCATACTAAAAGAGAAATATTTTATCATATTTATCTTATATTTTATTATATTAAATATCATGATTCAACTGGTATCCTTCTACACTTTGTGACCAGTCTTAATTTCCACATCATACCACTATGATGTGATAAGTGAAGGATTTCATAAGTCTACTGAGAGCTATGGACTCTGTTAGGACCAAAATCCCATTTTTGCTGGTAATATTAGACCGGGAGACATGACAACCTACTACCTCTGTTTAGAAAGAATTTTGCATGTATTTTAAGGGGCGGGGGTTGTTTTGGTTTTTTTTTTTTAAAGGGACCATGATTTTATTCCTGGTTAGTCGCATTAATCATTTTTACATTTACAAGGAACAACATTTGGTTTGTGTCTGCGCAGCAACTTTTGTGCCATCAGAGCTGTGTTTTTTTTGTGAACCCAAAGCTTCCTGCTTCTCCTTACTTTTAAGGGTCTACCCTGAGAGAGTCAGGACAGTAGCTAATGGGCACAAGCACTTCATTGCTAAACAAAGCTTGACAGAGGAAACATGCAAATGCAAGTGATTGCCCTTCTGAGTAAGACTCTGCAACAGCATTGTGGAGACTGGCCAGGAGTTTCCTTCTGAGCCCTTTTGTAAAGGACAGATTGTACTGGAAGTGCATGCTGCTATAAAGAAAGGCCTCCAGGCTGCTGCTTATAATTACTTTTTTGTCTTGCATTAGCTCCTAGAAGCCCTATCTTAGGCTCCGTATGCTACATATTGTAGATATAGGGCAAAAGGTAGGGGGCAGGGGCAAAGGTAACAGGCATTTGAACATTTTTGGAGCTTCTCAAACTGTTCAGGGTTCCTTCATGTAACTCTTTCCAGTGCTTTACTCCCCTAATCAGGCCAGAGGTGACTAGAACTACAGGTACAGTCATACTACTCTGTTGCATCACACAGATTACTTCATGGATGTCAACACTGGGCTGCCAGGTAAAATCCATGATGTCAGAGTCTTAAAGTATTCCAGCATGCATGGGAAAGAACAGGAAGGCATAGTTTTCCTGCACACTGCATTGGGAACATCAATAATGTTTCTATGGCAACTGTGACTCTCTGGAATACAATCTATTTATTGCCATACCCAGATTATGAAAATGATGGCAAACTAGCATTGCTAGTATGGCTTCAGCTGTGTCAAGACAGTGCGGCCTAGGTGCATGAGGGGCCTTCCTCAGTCTGAGGGGGTTGGAGCTCAAAGTCTCGCCTGCCACTTCCAAAGAGCTATCTCTACGCTGAGCTAGAGACAAGGCACAGCAAAGGGCAGTCCCCATGGCTCCTGTTGAAGCTGTGATACAATGTAGAAAGGACTGTAAGGATAGGGGACCAAACAGAGAGCCAGCAAGGGGGAGCATGACCCCATAGCCCAGTGATCAGGCTACTTCTCTTAGGAGAGGGAGTCCTGCTTTCTGCTCCCAACACTACCGTAGTTATGCATTTTATTCATGAACTCTTTGTTGCAAAATGCACAAATAGTCCCTGACACATGCTCCCTCTTGTTTGCTCTCATATTCCCATTACGTGTCAAGGGTTGTAATGAGGTTCAGCAACCAACAGAACTAACTGGTAGATGGAATCAATCCATGTTCAGTACCATTGCAGAAATCGTGGTACAGCCTTGCTGCATGACTGAACCTTGAACAGTAAGCTTCTGATAGCTGTTGCAGAAGGGACAGCACTACCATAAGCTTCTTCATATGGGAGCAATGGTTTCCTCACCTGGAAATTGTGCTTGGGCATGTCTAGGGTTCTGGGAAGAGGAAGAATTAGTATAACTCATTACAGTGCCATGGTTAAGCAAGTCTGTCTCCACAGCCAAATAAATACCCATGTGCCTAAATGGGTTGCAGGAATACAACTGTATGCCAGGCTAGGCAGCTAGTACAGAGTGTGTATGGGCATAGCTGGTTTAACTGGATATTAACAGTTTCCATTACAGCCTGCATTTTTAGCCAATCATGCCCCTAACAAATATAAGGGTAGGGAAACATAGTACAGTGGCCAGAGTTTAATAGAGTAGATAATACTGTAGTGGCCTACCCAATGAGAAGTGTTTCTGCATCACACCCGGTGCACTAGAGGGCACCCCAGTTCTACAAACACACATCCAGATCCTGTTCAGGTTATTTCACAGTTTACCCATATCAATCTTGTGCCCTGAGCATGTCATGGGGCATAAGCAGGACAAAGAGATCTTGATTTATAATGGGTGGTTATAGCTACAGGAAAGTCTCCTTAGTACAGATTTGAAAGTCATTAATTTCAGGGTTCAGTGGACAATTTGTTTAAAATGAATTAATTCAGCACCTGAGCCAGCCAGTGGTGAACAGAATGGGACATAAGGCTGTACCAGTTGTGCAGATAACACAACTTGTACAAGTAAGCTCTATTTTTGGCAGTACAAGAGTAGGAGCTGGTGCATAAAACATAATGTAATGTATGGTCTGCAGACTGTGCCCACAGGCCACTGTATATTACAGTACATGCTATATATATATATATATA